CAAGAGCAGGAGCAGGAGCGAGAGCAGGAGCAGGAGCAGGAGCGAGAGCAGGAGCGAGAGCAGGAGCAGGAGCAGGAGCAAGAGCAAGAGCAAGAGCAGGAGCGAGAGCAGGAGCAGGAGCAGGAGCAAGAGCAGGAGCAGGAGCAGGAGCAAGAGCAAGAGCAGGAGCGAGAGCAGGAGCAGGAGCGAGAGCAGGAGCAGGAGCGAGAGCAGGAGCGAGAGCAGGAGCAGGAGCAAGAGCAGGAGCAAGAGCGAGAGCAGGAGCAAGAGCGAGAGCAGGAGCAGGAGCAGGAGCAGGAGCAGGAGCAAGAGCGAGAGCAGGAGCAAGAGCAAGAGCAGGATCAGGAGCAAGAGCAGGAGCGAGAGCAGGAACGAAAGCAGGAGCAAGAGCGAGAGCGAGAGCAGGATCAGGAGCGAGAGCAAGAGCAAACTAATAATAGTTTATTGTGAAATAGAGCAAATCTATGACATGTAACCAGAATGAACACCATAATATATTGAGGACATGATTAGTTTCGACCAGATGGTTTATTGACATTTTACAGAATGGAAATCAGACATTAATGCAAAATTGCAGCATTCCTGTGTTACCTGCACATGGTACCTGAAACAAAGCTCATGTTTTTATTACATTATGCTTTCATAGAGCTTTTACAGATGTAACAGAACCATTCCCAGAATGTTTTACACAAGACAAAAGTACAAGTTTCCCAGTGTCAGGGCACCCATAAACAACGCCCATCTGGGCGTTCACCAGTTAACCTAGCCACTGGCTTCAAGCCCACGATGCTCCAGTCTTAATCTGGTTATTCTGCTCATCTTCTATTTTATGTGACTCAGACTGGATTGTTTTCCCTATGACCCGTTACACGTGACAACACACTCGTGGCAACGCCTCGTTCGCCATGATGGATGTAAAAGAAACTGTTTATGTTTGTTGAAAGTCCACAACAAGCTAGTTTGTAGCCTAATGTTGCTTTTGTTGTCTTGTTGTCACATAAAACAATAAAAGTTAGCTATACGGCTCGCTGTTCCAACACACAAGGATGTAGACCTGGCTTTCTACAGCTGTCAATCAAATGGACTAGCAGTCCTCAAATATTCGTAGGTTTGCATCAGACACGTGTTACCGGGCAAACCAAGTGTGTGAAAACTAAAATGAATAGAATAGAATAGAATAGAATAGAATGTATAACTCCCACAGTCGATAGATTCACTTGCTACACCAGCACATATATTTACCATAAAGGAAGAAAATAATACGATTACAGGTAAACACCCAGACAGAAAACTGTTATCGTAACCTTCAACCCCTAAATCAAATCAATCAAATCAAATCTAAGATACTTTATTAATCCCAGAGGGAAATTAGACATTAAACAACAAAATAAAAGGAAGCTTGTGTTTCTAGAACTACGCAGCATAAGGGACACAGACGTTGCACGAGTAGCACATACTGAGTACTGCACTGGTGGTATTGTGTACCAGGATGATGCCAGTACCTCTGAGGAGTTAAACACTCTTACTGCAGACGGGACGAATGACCTACGGTAGAGTTCTGTTTTGCATCTGAGATGTCTCTGTCTGCCTCTGAAGGAGCTGCCCATGGTCTCCACAGTGGAATGCGGTGGATGGGAGGAGTTTTCCGAAATGGAGGTCACCTTTCCCAGCATCCTCCTTTTGCACTTCTGCTCAGCTGAATCTATTGGCAGCCCAGAACTGAACTAGCTTTGTTAACTAGCTTGCTCAGGCTTTTGCTGTCTCAGTCAGAGCTGCCTGGACCCCAACAGACCACAGCAGAGTGGATGACAGAGCCCGACCTAGGTGTGCTTCTTAAACCTTCCCACAAGTGAAATGGGCCTGGACTAGAATCCAGGCTGGACTCTCAGAAACCACGTTTGCCGTCTGTTCAACGCTTCCGTAACGTCCACCATTCCTGACCCACGTAATCACTATCCAGATGGCCGGATTCGGGGTAGTTTTTATTAGGACCAGTACAAAGAAACATGCACTGTATCGGGCCAATATCGACATTGGTATTGGGATCGGAGCATCCCTGAAAAGCACCTTTACCTGCCTCAGTGATTCCCAATGCTTCCCACTCAAATGAGGTCAAATGTCTCATTTGTCCACAGTGCTGTTGTCTTCTCCAGATTATTCCATTAAAATAGAACTTTTCCTGTGGTTTCAGGAGGTTTTCTCCTTTATTTAAGGATGGAAAAACAGGAAGCAGCATCCCTGCATGTTAGAGACCCATCACCTGAGAATTCCTGTAATTCCTGTAGCGTTTCTACGTTTTCCATAAACTGGATGGTTCAACCCAGTTGATGTATCTTCCCCTCCAGCCATCCTTCAGACAGCACCCTTATCTGAGAGTGGCTGTGCCTGCAGCGCCAGACCTGCAGTGTGAGGCTCCAGATATGTGATGACAGCTCCTGTCAGAGGCCTGACTCCTGAAGGGTCACCGCTCTGCCTGCCAGAGGCCTGAAGCTGCTCTCCCAACGATCAGATCCATTCTTAGACTCAGAAGTGTGTCTCTGTCGTATGTTTAAACTTTTACATGTAGACTTTTATGCTTTCCTCTCAGATAAAGTTTGCATTCTGAAAACGTTCAGGTGTAAGGAATCGGTCTCTGCAGATGGACACAAGCTAACAGTTAAAATTCCCACAATGTGAAGCAACTTTAAAGCTAACATTTAGCAGCAAAACCAAATACTAGAAATATAAATGTGTGTTTTCATAACAGACTCACTCAACGTTTTATTTCCTCAAAAAAAAGGTTTTATAGTCAGAGGATGATATCCGAAACTCCGGCAAAGACCGTAAAAGTCCCAGCATTCCTTGCAGGAATCCTTATTCAAGGGTCACTTTGTTTTGTTGGCGATAAAAACTTAAACTCAAGCATCCCACTGAGCAAAGACCTAGTTTGGACAGACGTGGTCTGGACCGATGGACTGAATATGGACAGGATCTGCACGTCCACGCGGCGTTGACTGTGTGCAGGGATTGTCATGGAATGTTCCAACCTGAGTTTTCCTGAAAAAAGTGAATAAGTAACTTTTTTAGAGGTTTTCAGACATGTTTGAGACTCTTATTGTGAAGGATTTCAGGTAGTTCCTGCTGAAGTGGGCAAATAGTGGGCTAATATGACCCAATATTTCAAACTGTAAAAACACACACAGGTTATATAAAGTATTATTGTTGTTGTTGTTGTTGTTGTTGTGTAGCCTATCTGATCTGCTTGCTTCTCCTCCTCCTGACGCATAACGTGAGCTCAGCGCGCGCTGCAGCAGCGACAACGTTAACGGCGCTTGCGAGCAGGGGCGGTTCTAGACCAAATTTTCCAAGGGGGCCAGAGTGGGGCCAGTATTTTTTCATGGGGGCGCAAGAAAAAAAAGGGAATAATTAGGGCAATATCAAAAAAAATTTTGTCTCCACCATATGACTAATTTTGTGCTTGTGCACAATTTTGCCAAAGGAAATTCCTAGTACTGTGAAACTATTCACTTTTTTGTTCTCTTCTTTTTCATTTCTATCTTTACTAAATTTTGGGGATCAAATTTATCAAAAATTTTCCTTTACTTTTTTCATCTATGATCTTTTACAACTGTATTTTACTAAGATAAGATTCAAATAAATTCATAATAAAAGACAATGAGCAAGTAAACTATTACAGCGAAAGCAGTCATGGTGTACTTGTGAAAGTAAAACTGGCGTGTTTTTATGGTACTCAGGTAACAATTCTGAATGCTTCACCGCAACACGAGACTTGAGTAAAAAAAATAATTCTAGTTGATTATTATAGTTTGTGGCTTTATTTGAAGATTACATGTACATATGAAAAACAAATAAAATATGTGCACAATACAATTTCTTAGTGCAGTGCTTTTTGTAGTCAACACACACACACACACACACACACAGAGAGAGAGAGAGAGAGAGAGAGAGAGAGAGAGAGAGAGAGAGAGAGAGAGAGAGAACAGCATGATATAAAGCTGTAACAAAAGTACTTTGCGTGTACTGAACCCCGCCCCCAGTTGCTTTTTTCCAGTTCCTGAATCCACACTGAGAGTCAAACACACTTCCTGCGCTACTTGGCGGGCTAAAATGTCTGCATGCATGACAATAAGTAGAGTCCATAGTAACAGAATATCCGACCCAAGGATGACTTTCATACCAGCTTGGCTGAAAGCTGCGTCGTCTGTCTCCTATTAATGTCCCTGGAAATGTCCTGAAATGAGGCTGAGTAGGTGGGTCATCCTTGCTGATATCTGAAAGAAAATAAATGTTAGCGTGAGGATAAAAGTCATAATTACTTAATTCAGAGTCTTATTTTATCTATTTATTAAATATAAACAACAGAAATGTTGGTCCAGAGTCAGCATGCCTCAAATGCATTTTACACACAATATGAGCTGCAAACACAGAGGGGTGGTTCAACACCCACAAACCTTTTTTTATATGAACTTTTATTGAACATTTGAAAAACGAACAAAAGCGACTAGATTTCTAAATCCGTTAGCAGAATGAGATTACAGAGTAGCTCCGAAGTTCGTCTTCATGTCAGCTTGCCTTTTGTGGATGCAACTCAACTTGGAATAGAAAGAAGACAAACAAAAAAAAATGAAAGAAATAAATAGAAAATGAAAGGATTCAAGTAAGACAGCATGAAAATCTAATGATGTGTGTATATAAATAAACATTTTACAAGGGGGAAGTTAAAGAGCAAACGAGGTCTATTTTGTATACCAAAAGAGGTTAGAGATCAGTGTCCATAATGAAATTATAAAGCTTTACAGCATCGGGGGTGGATGTTTTACCGAAGGATCTCAACAGCAGCTTCATTTCATTTCTGAGATTATTCCATCTTGGTGGATTTTTCGCAAGTTGCGAGTCTCCTCCTTTCATGTAAATGTCGGCCTGAGTGAGCGGGCCCAGGGGGGTGGGGGCGGCGGGGACCGGAGCTCGGTGAATGAGGAGGCGGGTGGGGGGGCGTTGCCTTCACGGACGTGCGTCCCTCTCCCTGCGCGCTGGGAACCCGGAGGTGTGGTTCGCTCACACCGACCCAACGTCTGAATCCGCTCAGAGGAGAGAAACCGCCTCTGGATGTAATCATGTCACTGGACCGCGAGCGCGTCCGGACCGGTGTTCTGATGGGTGGGATGTTTTGTTAGAGCACCGGAGACCCGCCGACAGCTGGAGGATAAAGCCATGGGCGGCCAGATCACTAGAAACACCTTGTACGGTAAGAATAATGCACGCGCGCCGGTGTTGTTCTCCGTTATATTCACGCCGAACCTGAACAGGTTCGGTGTTCGGATCTGCAGCCTCCTCCAGTGCAGGTTCCGATGTCAGGTACCACTCAGCCGTTTATTACGTCACTCCGCTGCTCAGCACGCGCCTCTGGAGACGCACAGCTGGTTTCTGATGAACACAAAGAACCAAACAGGAAGTCCTAAACCATCCGGACCTGAATTCGGATCATGTGTTCATCGTGCAGCTTGGTTCTGGAGGAAAGGCTGTGTAGATGTGGAGGTCCCCTCATTAATAAACAGCTCAGCTGAGCTTTGGTGCATCAGCTGGTTCTGACCCGATGGAGCCGCCAGCAGCAACAGGGAAATCAAAATGTAGGCCATTATCTTCATGTGGTCCCAAACAGACCCAGTTCCACAGCACAGAACCTCCTGTCTGCTGCAGAACCGGGTTCTGGAGGTCAGTCCAACCTGGTTCTGACCAGCTGACCGCCCCAATTAAAGCATCAACATCAATCCAATTAGTCTAAGCAGGACAGAAGAGCTGCTTTCGTCTAGGATGAAGGACACACACACACACACACACACACACACACACACACACACACACACACACACACACACACACACACACTACAGACACTGGTTACGACCCATTTAACAACCAGAATCAGCTCCAACTGATGCACCAAGAAATCAGCTGATCTGAAACTCAAATCAGATTTCTTTTGTGTCTTTTGGTTCAGGGGTGCACCATTACCTATCAGCCTTTAAATTCCAACATTTTCCTGGTCCATGAATGCACCACCAGTCATGTTGGGACCTCTTGATGGTCTGGTGTGTGTTATCGGCCTCTAGAACCTGGATCGGTGCAGTTGAGACGACTCTTCTTATCTCAGCTTCACAAACACATGTACTTATGTGTTATATTTAAAGTGCTCTGTGTTTAATTGTTTCTAAAATTTATTTGAAAAGGTCTAAAATCTAATTTAGAAACAATTTAACTTTTGAATATTAATGTGATGCTCCAGTGCTTTTGTTTTATTCATTAATGATACGTTTTAATAATCGGCGTCCTGGTTGCGTTTTCAAGAAAATAACAGAATCATTTAACTTTTAACAAATTATTTCTATTTTATTTCTTGTGTTTGATCGTTTTTTAAGAAGTTAAAATGTTGCAGCTTTGAACCTAATAGGATCGATTTCTCAGCAGACATTAATAGTAATCCCAGCTGACATCAACAAATGTTCAAAACCCCTTTTTCTTATTCTATGTTGAATTTTGTTTTTTTTTTATTCATACTGCAAGATTTTATTCCATGGAAGGTCGTTTCACCCACAAAATCAAACACCTTTACACACAATAGCATCAATAAACACAGGATCAGCGGCAAGCCTGATGTTCATCTGCAGAATTAGATGTTTTTTTAGTATTTAGCTGCATCTTTTCTATGTTTTCTGTCCTTTTTCTCTTGAGTTAATCAGCTGCTAGCTGTTGAAGCTAACCCTTTAGCTGCACCCTGTCCCACATCAGAACCAAACCCGAAGCTGGATTTCCACAGAACCAGTTGGTGCAGCACAGCCGTTAGTTCTCAGAAGGCGGTGACTATTTAACAGATTATTCTGCCAGTTTGGGTTTATAAATCATTCACACATGAAGGCGTGTTCAGAAACCAGCTGCTGGCGTTTGTTTCCACATAAAACCGAGTTAATATTAGCCACGGTTTATGATACTTGTCAGTTTTTGGGTCTTGTCGTAACCTTCCGCTTTGAGATCTTCAAATAAAAAACAAAACAAGAATCTGAACCAAAACAATTCAACTGAAACGACCAGAGAGGTTAAAAAACTCACGGATTTATGATCGTTATGTTTTCTGTGGCCGCAGACTGACACGACCGAAATCTCACCAGCAGGAAGACGAGTGGGTTTAACTAAATTTAAAACAAATCACTGCCGTTGCCGTGGCAACCAGCACACGTTGATAGAAAGCATCATGTTCCTTCAGCTGCTTGTTTTCTAGAACAAAAAAAAATCTGATCTGGGATGTTTTCTTCCTCTGCAGCTGATGTAGAAATCATAACACAAGCTGTGGAGCATCAGGAGCACCGTGGTGGTTCTTTTAGAGGTCCTGATGCTGGCATGAGAACCCTGGAGATGCTGGGCACCTGATCAGGTGTTCTGTTCTGGGTTTGGGTTCTGCTGTTAAATATCTCTTCTGTGTGAAGCCCCAGAACCCGTCTGAGCAGCGTTCACTGACTCGCTTACATAACGTACCGAGTGTGTGGGAGTGTGGGCCAGCATCTGAGGCTGGTTCTGGTTCCGAATGAACCGAATCAGATTCAAAATCCAAAGATGAACCTGGTGGATGGTTCTGGGGATCAGATGGGATACCAGAGATGTTCTGGTTTTGAGGACAACTGAATACGATTTTTTTTAAACTTTAGATTTATGATCCTGGAAGTAAAAACTTCCACATCAAAGAATTAACAAAACTCTAAATCTGTTTCCAAACCTAAACAAATGCAGGTTTTTCATCCCGATCGCCAGCTGCTTTTTGGATGCAGATCCATGGGAAATGTTCCAGGATATTTAATGGAATCTGCTAATTAATCCAGCATGACATCATCTCCTGAGAGGAGGAGACGCAGCAGCTTCAACTCTTCCCTGGAGTGACAGACGCATGTATCTGAGGGTCAGAGGTCATGCAGTCTGTGTCACTCATATAATTGTTACTTCTTGTGTCCTCTGGCATGGAGCCACCAGCTCCATCAGCTCTGCTAAGCTTTATCCATGTTCAGTGGGCGTGGAGAACCTCTATGTTCCTGTTCTTCCTCATAACGGGTCACCTTTAGGTCAGCGGTGACAGAATGACTTCCTGTCATCATACCCTCCTTCAGTCAATAAAGCTGCATCTCATTACGCCAGTGGAGGGGCATCACTGGGTTGTGCTCCTTCATCAGCTCCTAGAGGAGGTCCTGATTTATTGATGACAGTTCTGCTTGTGGACAGAGGCAGGGCAAGGGGGTGGGGGTGGGGGCAGGGTGTGAGGTGGGTGAGGCCTCATCATTCCACGTCTCACCTTTCGCTGTTGATCCTCACCGTGTGAATTATTGAGAGGAACATTTCTCAGCAGGAGGCAAGGCCCGGAGGAGAACATCAGATGGTTCTGCCTAAGCCCGTCAAGCAGCATCAACCAGAATTAAACGTTATGACTCTGGCTGGCTCCTAATGATTACTAAAACAACACAGAGCAGGTTTTATTAAAGCTATTTAATCGAATTTTTACTTCAGTCTGTAATTTCTCCTGGAGGCTAAACATCATCATGTTCAGTTATGATTCAACTAGTCCAGAAATACATCTCCATGCACACCTAATTATACACACACCTTTCTTTACCGACACCTATCAATACACACCTATTAGGTGTGCACCTGTTCATGCACACCTAATTGCTGAGCTGAGATCCTTTGATATAAGTAGGAGGCTCTTGAATGTGTGTTACCAGGGGATTATGGCCAGTGTGTTGTTTTATGCTGTGTTGTGTTGGGGCAGGAGCCTCACTGCTGAGGACAAAAACAGGATCAACACAATGATCAAGAAATCTGGCTCAGTGGTCGGGCAACGCTTGGACTCATTGGACATGATCATCGACAAAAGGATGAGGAGTAAACGTAAGACAGTTATGTCTCTGGAGGATCACCCCTTCACCAGATGTTTAAGGATCTCGGGAGCTCTTTTAGTGGGCGAATGTTAACGTCCCGGTGTTCCACTGAACGTTTTAGGAACTCTTTTATTCCTGCTGCCGTGCGTTTTTACAATGAGCATTTCGTATGATTGTATATTTGATATTTTTATCATGATTGTGGCTTGTTCCAGTGTCCAGTGAATGTTTTGTTGTGTGGATGTGCATGTTGTGATTACTTGTCCAGGGCAATTCAATTTCCCCCCTCGGGGATTAACAAAGACAACCTTGAACCTTAATTGCACACTTAGGTGTGTGTATATATCTACACACAGCTATTTCACACATCTGTTAGCACACACCTATTAACACACCAATTTTTAAACACCCATTTACACACACCTATTCATACACCTATATACAGACCTACTTACACACACCAGTTAGTACACACCTATTTAAACACACACATTTATACACATCTATGTTCACACACTTATTTATATATAAATATAAATCTCCACGGATCCTAATGAACTGTCTGGTGTGCTCACCGAGGCTGGAATGCTCTTGCATCCAGTAAATCCCAGTGATCATGGTTCCTGCTCCATAACTGTTTGTTTATACATAAAATAATGTAAAATAGTTCATATGAATGTATTTTACTACAGAAGGATCTCTATTATTATTATTATTGTTAAACAGGTTTTTTTCACAGTTTTTTTTTTATTCTTTGAAGATGCATTTGATGGAAGATCGACATCGGTGTGTTTCTTGTTTATGATTAGTTTTTTGTCTCGGGGTAAATTTATGATTCGACTAGAACTGGAATAAAAACAGATCCTAAAACAGGAGCAGATTACTTCATTCATGTTAATGAGTTTGAATGAATGAATGAATGATGGAGAACTCAGAGTTCTGCTTCAGTCTAAATAACGAGTCGTGCAGCCGCGTGCACGCTGTCCTGCTGGGCGTGCACGTTGATGCTGCTCAAGAAAAGGCTGCTGCTGATCTAAAAAAGGTTTGACCTGTTTGGATCATCAGTGAACTCTGATTCATGAGTTTATTAAATAAATAAAACATCTCAAATAGGGATGCACCGATACCGATACTGGTATTGGTATTGGTATCGGTAAAAGTTAACCCATACAGGAACCGATACCTATGCAGTTGCTTGAAAAGGGCTTCATTGTAAATTGTCATTTCTGTTCACCTAATATTTTAGTTTTGTGATGATTTCTTAACATATATTTAACTTTTTATCTACCTCAGTCTTTTCCTGTTGAAAGCTAAGGAAAAATAAAATCTG